GTGTTTGTATAACTGTAGGTCAATGTGATTTTGTAACAATATGTTTAAACTTCTGATAATGAAAATCACTTTCAATTTGACACTCTTTGAGGTGCAAACATGTCGGTTATACCATTACACAATACTCCTAAGAACATTGTTTTCCTCTGGTTCATAAGAGTTGTAATAGGGCCATTTGTCTTTCTTCCACTTCTCAGTGTGGTAATAAATTTCCTGGTGGCAAATATTTCTTCTATTTGCACTTGTTCTTCTAAAGAAAAGTTGAAAGTAAACGTAAAATGTATGATTAATCTTCATCCTACTTTGTATTTGCGGCACTGCTAGGATGTTGTGGCAGCAAGTACTGGTATTTTTCCACCATATATGTTCTTTCCTCTGGAAAACAACAGAGGAATAATGTAATTATTCTTTAAATTTGGCTTCAAAAATTAAAAAAAAAAAAAAAAAGGTTAAATAAAGGAGGCACTGTTCATAATTTATGAAAGATAAGGTAGCCCTGTCAGTTACTACATTCACATAAGATTGAATTTGTACTCAGTTTCCCAAGAACCATGGGGCTTGGGGTTTTTTAAATCAAAATTCTACAAAAATCAGGAAGCTGCAGAAAAATACTTATTTGCTGTAACTGAAGGTCAACTTCTTTACATGTGATAGGTATTGATGGGAGTAGGGGAGAGGTTTTTGAGTGCTCAAAATTGCTACTAGTATTTCTAAACTAAAGCATCTAATTAAATTATACAATTATAACAGAGGATATCACTCTAGACCAGAGAGAATTCTCTCTTAAATCAATATCCGTCATTTTTATGGCCAGACAAAACTCTGTTAAATATGCTTGCAATAACAACTGTATTACATTTCTCTTATGTGATACACAATCCATTTGCTTCAGAAGGGACTCAATTTTTGTGACCTTTTACCTTGTACTAAGGTCTTAATTTTCAATCTAAGGTCTTAATTTTCAATCTAATTTTATAACATTTGAGAAGCAAATAAGTTATTTTCTGAATTAAAGATCTTACTGTTAGGTTTCTTTTCTGTAGCAAATGATTATAAATCAAGGAAAAAAAAAAAAAAAACTAACCAGAATTTTTCCTGGTCTGGTCATTATGCACCAGGGATTATTTTTGCTCATTGTATTTTTAAGGAAATACTTTATCAAAATTATTTATCATACAACAACAGAGCAGAGAAACAATTTATTTTTGTGTTTTAAACAGTATTTAAGGCTTGAAATTGATCGGGTTATACCTGCACAAGAAAAGCCATCTAGAAGAACAAAATAACAATTTCTGGATACTTTTCTGTTCCTCTGTGGAACTGCAAAGAATACTCAAGTAACATTCTACTGAGTGTGTATCTTCACCAGGATTTTAATTACCACATATGAATTCCATGAGATACAAATACATTCCAAGCCTCTCTGTAAAATATTGCTTTTACTAGGGAATTTTATTTATTCCACATATGATGGTTGACACTGGACTTTTTTTTTTTTTTTTCTATTAAGTTCATCAAAGTTAGGAGATAAAAGTCCATGCAAAAGAATGTGGACACAGTTTTTCTAATAAAGGAGGCAGGAAACTGGCAGTCCTCCCCTTGATATCTTCAGTTTTGTATATGAGGCATAGTCAAGGCTGTGGACACACAGCAAGGAGGGCTGCTTCAGAATGGTGTAAGGGGAAGACTAGAGCATGGCAAGAGAAGAGTTGAATACGAGTTATATGAAGATATTTTATAGAAATAACTGAGGAGTTTCATTCAGTTACCTGAAATGTTACATATCTTAGTGTGAACCATAGAGGGGAAAGTGCTGTCTAGCTGTTCTTTGACTGGATCAGAGGAGTTTTTCTTTTTAAGCATCATGTATGTGTTTGATTTGGGTTTTTTTCCTAATAGTAATGGCTTAAGCAGAAAGAAATTTGACTCTGACACCTAGTTAAGAAGTTTTGTTTATTGATGTATTAACTAAAAAAAAAAAAAAAAAAAAAATCTGGATTAAAAGCATCCAAGCATCTTGAAGTCTAAATCTGTTTAGAGATATGTGATATATTGTATTAAGCCATTTGTTAAAATCCTTAATGTGTAAAATGTTACAAGAGTTTTTAATAGTAATTTTGTAAACACAAAGGTGGTAGAAATAAATTGCTGATTAACTAAAGGAATAGGATACTCCAAACCTAGTTGGGGATCTATGTAACTGAATGTGAATTTGGTTCAGATAAAAAAAGATCATGTTTTCAGAGTGATTTTGTGTGTGTGTGTGTGTCTTTCTCCAACATGATGCCTTCTTATGCCAGGTAATCATCTTCTAACAAAGAATCAGCTGAAAGACTCAAAAATTGCTAACAAGGTTTACTCATTAAAGTACTAATAATTAAAATGCAAGAGGTAGAGGTAGTTTTAAGTAAACCTTCAACTCTATAAGATTTAGTGTAGCTGGTAAGAGTTAAGCCTAGGAAAACTAAAAGGTATTTAAGTTTAGCCTTATCTTAAAGTAACCTGATGATCAGAATTTTTGTCATGGTATGATCCTTCCCATTTGAAATTTTTGGCCAAAATGGTATCATGGTCATAGGTTTCAAAGGAAGCTATTTTGCTTCACACTTTAAAATCTGTCCAAGATGGTTCTGGGTGTACTTTTCCTATTTCAAAGTCCTTGTCCACTCTCAGATCAGCTGGTGTGCTGTATGCAATACTGGACATGAATCCTCCACTGCCAAAAGTATCCCCTTATTTCCTGCGTCTGACGATGTTAAAGATTTTCTACTTGATAGGGCTTGAAATGACCATATGTATAGATCCCATCCCTTCCTCCGTACAGGCTAAGGAGGACGGGCAATACTGCCCAGAGTCAAGTTCAAGTTCCTATGGCCTCCCTGCACAGAGGCAAATGTGGGGGAAGAGGAGAAGATGAATTAAATGTGGTTATGAATGTATTTTAACCCCGGTGCTGAAAATGGTAATGGGTGAGCTCAGGTCTTCCTCACTACAAGGTAAGTTTGTGAGAATTTGCTACTTGGGGTACTTTATTGAGCTCCCACTACTCACCAGCTACCCAAACTGAGTAGCCATGAAAATATTTAGTGAAAAGATGCTTCCTGATCCTAGTGGATTTGAGTCATGGTCTGACTGTGTGGTTGTGTGGCATGACATCAGCAGAGTAGCAGTTTGTGTTTGAACTGATTGAACTTCCAATATTGCCCAAGGCCCCAAAATATTATGTTGTGGTTCAGTGGTTTGGGAGAAGGCAGGTGGCCTTGTATCACTGCAATGGTCATAGTTTTATGAGGGAAGGTGATGTTTGAGTAACAAAAGGCAATCTTTAGTATTTTATACACAGATTTCTCTGTCTAGATGGATCTAAAGCAATGTTAATCATAGTGTCTTGTAGAGTAGCTTCTGAAACTAAGAAAATTAATTGTAACTGGTACTGTTGGTATTTTGTTTTATAAAAAGTTAAATAGGGATGCTGAATGGATCAGTGAAATGCTTCAGTGTGACAGAATACAAGCCCTATAATGCAGAGGCATACAAAACCTGAGACCATAATTGCTCCAGTGAACAGTGAAGTCAACCTCTGTGCATCTCTTTTAAGGCAGAAACTAATAAATAGAATCACAGAATCATCTGGGTTGGAAAGGACCCTGGAGATCATCTAGTCCAACTGTTCGCCTAGCACAGTTCCCACCTACAGCATATCCTTAAGCTCCAAATCGACCCTACTCTTGAACACCTCCAGGGATGGGGACTCCACCACCTCCTTGGGCAGCCCATTCCAATGCCTAACAAGCCATTCTGTAAAGATATGCTTCCTAATATCTAGTCTAAACTTTCCCTGGTGCAACTTGAGGCCATTCCCTCCTGTCCTGTTGCTTTCTACTAGGTTAAAGAGGCTCAAACCCAGCTCTCTGCAGTTTCCTTTCAGGTAGCTGTAGAGGGCGATGAGGTCTCCCCTCAGCCTCCTCTTCTCCAGACTAAACAATCCCAGTTCCCACAGCTGCTCCTCATAGGACATGTGTTCCAGACCCTTCACCAGCTTTGTTGCCCTTCTCTGGACATGTTCAAGTAACGCTATGTCCTTTTTGTAGTGAGGGGCCCAAAACTGAACACAGTCATCAAGGTGCGGCCTCACCAGCGCCAAGTACAGGGGTAAGATCCCTTCCCTGTCCCTGCTGGCCACGCTATTGCTGACACAAGCCAGTATGCCATTGGCCTTCTTGGCTATGTGGGCACACTGCTGGCTCCTGTTCAGCCGGCTGTCAATCAACACCCCCAGGTCCCTCTTTGACTGGCAGCTTTCCAGCCACTCCTCCCCAAGCCTGTAGCACTGCTGGGGGTTGTTGTGGCCCAAGACCAGCACCCAGCATTTGGCCTTATTGAAACTCCTCCAGTTGGCCTCAGCCCATGGCTCCAGCCTGTCCAGGTCTCTCTGCAGAGCCTCCCTACCCTCGAGCAGATCAACACTCCCACCCAACTTGGTGTCATCTGCAAACTGACTGAGGGTGCACTCAGTCCCGTCGTCTAGATCATCAATAAAGATGTTAAACAGGAGTGGCCCCAAAACTGAGCCCTTGGGCACACCACTCATGACCAGCTGCCAACTGGATTTAACTCCGTTCACCACAACTATCTGGGCCTGGTCGTCCAGCCAGTTTTTTACCCAGCAAAGTGTGCGATTGTCCAAATCTCGAGCAGCCATTTTCTCCAGGAGAATGCTGTGGGAAACGGTGTCAAAAGCCTTGCTAAAGTCAAGGTAAATCACATCCACAGCCTTTCCTTCATCCAATAAGCATAGTTCGAAATAGTTGGAAATGCTTCCACTATGAAGCCATGGGCAGTTTTAACTTCAGCCTTTTCCAATATGCCAAGTCAAACCTTGGAATTTTCTTCTAATCTTCATAAAGGTACAGTGCACAGAGACAGTGTGCCATAAAAAATGAATGCTGAGCTATTTCCAACCCTCCAAAAGAGACAAACACAGCAGATGAGGTACATTTTAATTAAGTTAATCACCTACCACATTTGGCATTTTCTTAAGGAAAAAAAAACCCAAACCACAACATAATATGATTAATTTTAGATTTTCTGACATAGAATAATCACAGAAATTGCCTGAACCTGAGACAGGATATGTCATTGTTTCCATAATTTGAGGGGGCTGAAAGGCCATTCTTTAAAATTCACAGATCGTGAGGCGATACAGGTTGCATCTTCTGTCATTCCAGGTCCCATCAGTGTACATCTCCACACATTTTTCTGACCCTTTTCCATTGGGCTCATGTGGGTGCCACTTAGTATAATTCAGAGGTATGCCATTCATATACATAAATTGACCTGAAGTCTCACTCTCTTTAATGCCCAAGTAAGCATATCGGTTATATTGTTTCACAATACCCAGAACTGCTTTATTCTCCTCCTCGTTTGTGGGAGTTGCAAGAGTTCCTCCAGCCTCCTCACAGGATTCTAGTGCAGATGGAAAATCTACTTCCTTTCCATTACTGGCAAGTATTTTCTCTCCTACTTCTATTATTTTCCCATTCAAAGCAAGCACTAAAACATGAACAGAAAAAAACCTAGTTAGCTTTTTTAATTTCCTATAGCATACTGATGAGAAAGCAAAGAAAGAGAAGTCAAGAGATGAAGAGAAAATTAGAGGTGGTAAGAAGAATAGAGGGCAAGAATGTGAGCGAAGCATGAAGAGAAATAAAGATCTTCAAATTTTACCAAATCGCTAGTCATTCACTAAATATATTGTTATCTTGCTTCTGACAACCTGTCATTGTCTTCTCCAAGACAAGAATGCCCCACTAACATCTGCTACATACAGATCTATTATATTGTGAGTACTCTCTAAAGAGGATGAATTTGCTTCAAATTTGAGCAAGTGAAACAAATTATAATTTTTGTGAATTCCTTCTCAGTACAAAACAATTTACCACCTTTAACATTCTGATAGATAAAAATGCTAGCATCGCGGCACAAGGCTGGGAAGTTCCCATGAATCCATGTGGAACATGCAACAGCTGGAATATTTTTTAATAATTTGAATAAATATACATTAGTGTTCCTAAGAAAAATCTGCTTCTTCAGGGAAAATGAGTCCCGATCTCCCCTGCTTTGGATGAGAAAATTGAGTTTTGGGATGCAGTACCATTTCCAAGCATGATTTCTTTCATGCAAGTCATGATTCTATAATGAATTTTACCTATTGCACTTCAAACTGATTGTGAGCTTAAAAAGTAAAAATGGGAAAAATTACCGCCTTCAAGTCTGGAAAGTCGACGTTTCAAATCTAAAATGTTGCAGACTTCAGTGTACAGAGAACCAGGTAGACCTACACAGAGAAAAATAGAAGTTATACAAAAGCAAAACTAGGCTCTACTGGTAAGAACAATTTCTTGGATAAAAAAAAAAAAATCCAAAACTAACTAGCACACAATTTTTTTTTTTAATCATCATCTGGCATGAAATAAATATTTCCTCAGTATTTTTTCACACTGTTGTTAAGCTATATCACAATAAACAAACAGAAACCTCCAACCCTCTAAAATGCTGATCATAGGTTGAAGACTTATGGTTGTCATGTCTTTGGCTTTGCCAAAGAGAATTTATTTCTTTCTAATAATCATTAGTGAGATTTGGGGGCAGGAACCATACTATTTTCTTTTTAATCTGCTGGATGGATTGTTTTATAGTGGAATCTTATTTTAGTGGAAACCATGAATACTGTTATAGTTGTGTGAAGTACAGGCCATCCAACACTGCTTACTAAAGATGGGAAATCACTGTAAAGGTAGATACTTTTTTTTCATACAAATTTCCATGGATAACAAGGGTCCTACATGTAGAATGAAGTTACTAGTGTGCTCTCATGATCATATTTCCGAAGCACAAAATACTACTGCATCTCTCTGAGTTGCAGTGTTACAACTCTTACTGCACTTCCCAGTCAGTAATAAACAACATCTTTGACCTAATAGAGAGAGTCCACTTGACTGACAGAACACTACATGGACATCATCCTTTTTCACATGGTAGTCCAATATCCCTTTTTTCTCCTTTCTCACCTTGTGGCCAAGAAAGAGAAGCATATTTTTCTTTCCAGTTGATGCATTTTCTGGGAACTTCAGGATGAAATAGATCTTAAACTCAAACTGAAATGTGTGGCATCTAAGAATAATTTTGATAGCACTTTAGCCTTAGTAATGGACCTGGAGAAAGCATTTCTACATAGAAAGAAAATTGCACAGTGCAAAATGTGTTCTTTTGCACATAGCATCTTTGCATACTAGAGAGGAGACATGCCAGAAGCCTTTTAATTACACTTGTAAATACCAGAATATTTCTTCATACTTTTAGGAAAAAAAAAAAAAAAGAAAAAAAAAAAGAACTTCTGCTGTTAAAGAAGCAATTGCCTTTGCAAGGTTAATGAAAAAGCACTACAAACATATATATTTCTATATATTATATTTATATGTTTAAGTATTGATAACCTGTTCATTTCTGCTCTTCTCTCAGAAGAGAGAAGGGGCCTATCTTTTAGAAAAAAAAAAACCAAACCAAAAAAACCCAAGCCAAAAACATTTCCTCTGTTCAGTTTTCCCTCTGGTTTAATGGAGCTGCTTCCTTAAGGGAACATATCCTTCTGAGTTAACTGGTTTTATTCATCCATCCTTCATGACAAGGATTTTTTGCAAAAAAGGGATGTTTACTTACCTGATAGATGTGACTGTCCTTTCAGACCATCTCTTGTAGGCAGTCCAGGGATACCAAACAGACCAGGAATTCCTGGGCATTTACACAATGCATCACAAGTCACTAGCAAAGCAGCTACTGCTGTGAGCATGTAGGACATGTAAGAGAACATGATTGCTCAGGCCAGCTGTAAAAAACCCCACATATTTGTTAGGCAATGATTCTGTAAGAAGGTGTAGGCAGTGGCTTGAACACTTTTTTCTTTCTTTTTTTTTTTTTTTTTTTTCTTTCCCATTTGTCCCTTCTTGAAATTTACAATCTTTCCTTGTTTAAATAAAGTCTATATTTTAGGTATAAGAGATTTTCCAGATCTCTTTTGCTGCTTTTGCATAGCTTATAGACAAAACTCTTTCTAGACTGATACAGACTGGTATGCTCACTACAAAATGACAGCTACGCATTTAGGAGTAGTGAAGACAAATCATCCTTTTTTCTATCACTGACTAGTTGTTGGATTAATCCTTGAGAAATTATGGGCTTAGATGTAACTGATCGCACTTAAGCCATTAGTTGTCTGTAAGGGCTGTAATCACTCAATGAAACATAGATGCCTGTGTTATCAACCTGAAAGGCACCATCTGCTACAATGGTTGTTGTGGTGCTTTGGAGTTAGTTAGCAATCTCTTTAAGCACAGTAGTATTTAAGCACATTTATTTGAAATAAGACAACTGATAGAGTGTTTTACACATTGGCAAAATTTTATAGCTCTATTGGCATTCCTATCTTATCTTGAACAAAATTCCACAAGCTTGAAAATGTCAGAGTTAGTCTTGTAGAAAATGCATTTTTGCTGGTTGGAAATAGGCCTATGCATCTTATTTTATCCTTTCAACTATAACATTAAGTAAGATTATAATCTCAGTGACAAGATATTATGACTAAAAAGCATTCTAAACTATAGCTCATGGGCTTACAATGCAGCTAGTGGGTATGCAGCATTAGTAATGCTGTGTGGTTATAAAACTTGAACTGATGGACTATGAGACACTATGGCATGGACACATACAGTTATTGGCATCATTCAATTAAAATAATAATATAGAGAAAGAAAGGTTCAGGGTGCCAGAATGGGTATACCTTTCTAAGTGAGATGACCCTGATGGGTTGACTCTCATGCAAAACATATAACTCAATACCCATGACTTTTCTTCTGGCATGAATTAGAAAGGATCATGAACGACACTCTCCTAAAAACTTCCATCCTTAAAAAAAGTCAGAATTGACAAGATCATTTTAATTGACACATAATATGTTCTAAATCCAGCTCCTCTTAAAGTTGAAAATGAAATCTTGGTTGGCTTGAATGCTGAAAGATTATTAACACCTGAGTTCATCAGTTAAAACAAGGTGTTTGTTTCAAAGCATATATGCCAAGCAGAATAAAATAATCAGGTTATTATTATTACCATTTATTAAATGGATACACTGAAACTAAAAAAAGTATTAATTACATCTTCCAGACCAATTCTTATCATAAAAGGATTTTGACACTATTCTAAATCTGCATCAATACCAACTATTTTAAAAGGCAGAGTTCACTTGTTTTTCTAGAGGAATGTCTCAACAAAATCAGTTCAGTGGGACATAGCCTGGAACATAAGAATATTCAGTTATATCATGAATTTCAGTGTTTTGCTACATATAGGCTATGTTTAATTTATAGCAGTATCTATTCCTCATGGTCAAAAATTTCCACTTCAACAGCTGGAAATTTTATATCCACTTAAGAAGAAACGTGCTGTATTAAAAGTGGTGTCAAGGTTCATGTGTTTAATCTGAAGCGTCCCAAGTTTTTTATCATATACTGTATTGAAGGCTAGTGGACACCTCTGACTGCTGATCAATGACTCAGAGAGCTGATTATTAAAGTCCCTAACAGAATCCTACCGTAGGTGGCTAGGAATACTTACATCCCTGAGATAACGAAATGCAATTGCAACAGGTACTCTTCATCTGGAGCTGATCATTCAGGGAGTTACATTTGAATGGACCACTGCATCCAGCTCATAATTGGATTATGATGCAGAGTCAGAGTCCTGATCAGTTGTATAGCAAAATGGAAAAAAAAAGCTCTTCAGTTTTAATCCAGTTTTAATGATTGTCATCAGTCATTACAATCTGATGTCCTTCAGGCATCTCCTCATCTACTAAAATTACTAGTATAAGCAAAGTAAAAAAATACTAATAATGGAAAATTTAATTTTAGAATGTAAATATGACCACAGAAATGAAAAGGAACAGGTTTGCCTTCTAGCTGAAGTTCCTTGTGATTTATTGAAAGGAAATTCAACTTACCCTTTTGCTTCAAAGTGAAATGAAAGAGTGGTTTGCACAACTCCCCTTTATATAGTGTTGTGTTTGTTAAATGACACTGCTGAAGTGGAGGCTGGATAATGAGGCTATGAACAAGCCTTCTGAGTTTTGCTTACACACGTGTTATGCAAATACTGAGAACAATTTTGATTTTTTTTTTTTTTTTTAATAAGAACAGAAAGCCAAAGATGGAGAAAAAACAGTCTAGAACTAATAGGTAACTCCATATTTGTAAACACATACAAAATGTATAAACTGTAAAGAAACTGTTAGTGATTCTAAGTGATAATGTAACAATTTTTTCCTGTTCTAAAAAAGCAAAAATGGCATATGAATACTTGTGGCCGGGAAGCTGCTCTTGTTAATTTGGGAAGCACATTACCTTCCAGATAGAGTCTGACCTGATAATCAGCATTCTAAACTTTGTTTTCTGTCTCAGTATCTGGTGTACTTACCTTAATACCATTTTCTAGCTGTGTGTATGCTCAGTGTTTCTGTGAGCATCTTGGCCAGAGATGGATCCTGGAAAAATCTGTATACATGCACAAAATTCTCAAATGGACAACATTTTCAAGTAAAAAAGAAACCAGAAGCTTTGGTCCTCAGGTTTCCCAGCAGTAAAGATCAGGATCTCATAACTTCCTTCTGGTTCTGATGCCTTCTACTATAAGGACATTTATATTTAATCCTAGCTGAGATTTGTTTTATGAACCTCAGCAAGCCAACACATCAGTCCCTCACCTGTAAGATAGAAATACCTCTGCTTCACATTTTTTCTCTATTTTCCCCATTTACACTGTGGTCTCTTAAGGACAGAACAGTTTCTACTTCTTGTTTGCATTTTACTAAAACTACTTAAGTTTTGGCATGAACTCTAACTATAGTGTCTTTCTACCCATCAGAATTCACAGCTGCAAGCTAACATCTTTAGGCTCCTTGTTCAACAAAGAGAGATGTCTGATATCAACTGTCTGATCTAGCTAAGACAAAATACCGAAGGAGGAGATATGTTTAGCATCCCCTTTAGAATTAATTTAGTCACTTAAATCCACTTCCATTCACATCTGTGAGCCTTGTGCTGCCATTAAAAGTGCTCAGTATGGTCTGTCCTCCCTCTCAAAAAAAAAAAAAAAAAAAAAAAAAGAAAAAAAAAAAGGAAAAAGTAAACTGGGGAGATATCAGTGTCCTTTTTAGCAAATGATCAATTAACACTCGCAAACGTATGTTATAAACAATCTGTCTTCAAATCCTTCCTCTACCTAATATGCAGCAAAGCTGTGAATGCAAGGTTAGTAATTTTACAAAACCTCTAATCCCACCAATTGAAACTATTTTTTGTAGTCTAAATGAAGTAGATTAAGAGAACTGTTATTAAGCATGTAAAATGTGGATTAGGTAAAACCAGTAGGTAAAATACCTTGTTTCTGAGTCCTGCTGCAGTTTGAGAATAGCAGATACCAGGCAATTCAGCACAATCCAGACACAGGTAATTCTGTTTTTAAATAGCAGCAGACCTCTGAGGTACCGACAGCTCTAAGAAAGTTCTGCAATTGCAAGATAAGATGAAATTTAATGGATGCAGAGTTTGGGAAATAGTATTTTAAATTATTAGGTGCCCAAGTTCTTGGAAAACTAATTTATCAGAACACAAATCTCATACAGATCCAGTTTCTATGCAACTCTGCAACAACTGTAATAGTTAATACTGTTCTGTGGTATCACTGCCTATATACACATGCTCCTCATGCATATATACGTAACTTTAATGGATGAGCAACATGATAAATCATTGCAGATCTGTACTATTTCTTCCACCTAACACACTTCACACTTACAAAGAAAAAAAAAAAAAAAAGAATTGGAAATCTTATTCAGGAAATCAGTAAAGTCCCACAACTTACTATCTCAATGCATTCAGGAAACTGTGGCATTAGGAAAACACTGCTTATAATGGCTTAAAATGTAGAAAAACTTTATAAATTATTATCTTTTACCAAAACTTTCAAAGAAGCATACATTTTATAACAGTTCTTCTCCCATGATTCAGATTACACTTAATGGAAACTGTTAAGAAATCTAAAACATAATCCAGCATGAGAGATTACTTTGTCATTAGATTTACTCTCCTTAGTTGTGTGGCAGAGAATTAGGGAAAACGAATAGAACAAGGAAGAAAGAAAGTAAATATTTTTTTCTGCAACCTGGCACTAATATTTTGAAATTTATAGGTAAACCTATGTGGTAATGGCTGAAGATCTTTAGTTGGGTAACACCCTGTGGTGGTTTAAGCCCTGCCGGGACTGGAGACCACGTTGCCATTGCCCCTCCCCCACCCGCAGCCTGTCAGGCTGGAAGTGAGGCACAAACCCCGGGTTAAAATAAGAAGAAATTTAATACAACAGTGTGATAAACAATCTGACCAACAACAGGAGCAATGATGACAACAATAAACAACAATAACAGTGAACAAGACAAAAGACATACAGAGAAATACCGCAATGGTTACAGACAGCGCATTTACGATTCTCCCCATCACCAAAACCACAAAGGAAAAAGTTCCTGCGTTCCCACGCCCGGACCTGACCTCAGCATGGTATGAATAACTTGACTGGAGATCCCTTCCCCCTTCTCTGCTGGGGAAACTTAACCCTATCCTAGCTGAACCAGGACACACCCACAGAACCCAGCCAAGGAACTCTAATGGTTTCAGTGGGCCCCAGATACTGCAGCCTTTTTCTGTCATTAAGTAGAACAATCAGATTCATTCTGATGCCCCCTAATGCATTAAATATGCTGTGCTGTTAACGCCAGCAATTTAAATCCAAACCTGACAATGGTCTGCTCAAGTATTAACAAAGGAGAACTTGGAAAAAAAAAATAAATCTGCTTTTCAAAGATGCTGCATACCTAGAAAGACTGCTGGTTTATATAGCAGCCACACACACTACCCTCAAAACAGTAATCGGAAAACTAGTAACTGCCAAGGTGGTTTCAAAACCAGAACCAATGTTATGTAGCCATCAAACCTCCAATTTTCAGAAAACTTGAACTCCAGATTTTGCTCAGCACAGTTTTGAAATGAATGCATTACTAAATACCTTATCATAGCCCTATCTCCATAAAGCTATGTCACAAGCTTTCACATAAAATGGAGTGCTGTACAGCCATATTAGTTTATTTTAGAAATCTATGAGACATTAATCTTAAATGTGTCTCTGTGCTGTAAGTTCCTTGTATCAGGTCTCTGAGCTTGTCCTTGGTACAGCATCTGTGCGGGAAGGAGGTGAAGGTGTGGTCAATTCTCCATCTATACCTTGCTCTAAACACATTCATGTTTTGTATTCGTCTAGTATTTCCACTGTAATCTATTTTCTCTGCTGCTACAGATCTTAAAATCATCCAGACTTAGGTGCCTATAGTCAGTTTTAAGACAACTCATTGGCATCAGCTTAAGCCCTCATCAAAAATATAGGGAACTAAACATATGTCACCTATTAAGTAATGAAACAATCCAGTGAGTAAAGTGCTGCCTCATCTCCACTGGTGGCTTAATTTTACTGAGACAAATCTAAACAATAAATATGGAATGGCCAACAGTCTTCCTGCCTTTGGAAAATAAGAAACACTGATAAAATCATTTTTATGCTACTTTACAATATACTGATGCAGGAACAGGATGAAAAATGCAGAGAGTATGGTATCTTACTACACTACTAATACTGAAAGAATGCAAGTTCTGCTGTGGGTAGGTCTTAAAATTTGTATTATTGCTGCGTGTAATCTAGACTTATTTCACTTTTAACTTGAGGATAAGCATCTTACAGGAAGAATGCATTGCTGATGAGACATATTTGTATTTGTGAACAAATGCATTACCAGTGACATGCTGCTAGCTTAATACACTGTTATTTTGGGAAATGGATCTCAGGGCAGAGATTTCTAGGTTTAAGCATAAGCAGGTGGATGGAGGAGAAGTAGGAATCATGAACATAGATGATGACATTCGGAAAGAGAGCACAGCAGAGACAGGGAACAGAGCTTGGAGTAACAGATTTTAAAGAGCTGGCTCCACCAGACTGTACTGAACAGCCCTTGCATAGCATTGTTCTTGCAAAGTACAAAAAATGTAAGCTTAAGACAAAAAAAGGGAAAAAAAAAAAAGCCTTCAAGCAACTAAATTTTTAAACCCCACATCCATTTCAATCTATTTTCCATTCTAGGAAAAGCTAATTCAAACTATACTGTCAAGAAAAGGGGTGACCAGGTTTTTCAGGCCTTTTGTTAAAAAAACAGTCATGGTTCTTTCCTGCCAAAAATTTACAACCTTGTAACTATGTTAACAGAAGAATTAGTTGTCCTTTGTTTTCAGATTATATCTGCTGCATCCTTCTTTCTTATATACTTGAAGCAACTGATTTAAACTACAGATTCATTGTCAGCATACTGTTGAACATCAGCAAAATGGCCTCTTGGATTATATGAAAAGGCAAGTTGATAGACAAGTCATTTTGACTGAACCATTATTTCTATGCCTTGGGGGGGAAAAAAAAAAAAAAGAGAGAGAGAATCAACTAGAACACAATAAAATAAAGGCAGCAAACAGCTCCTGCTTTAACATAACATGACAGAGTTTTAGACACAGCCTTGTTGCTTCAGGCAGGACAAGTACTCTCCCCTTCTCATTTCCCATATTGTCTCTCGAGATTTAGTAAACATTTACCCTACTCTAAATCAGCTTCTGTCTTATTCTTTCAGAAACAAACAGAAGCCCACAAATAATCTCATTCTAACTTCAGAACCTAATAATGATTTCCAGGTGGTCTGTATCTTACCTGTTTCACAGCTAGAGAAACTAAAGTTTAGAGAGATGTTATCCCGAGGATCATTGAGGAAGCCCCCTTTTTTTTTTTTTTTTTTCCAAAGCTTCAATTCACTTGTCTATCTTGTAGCCCACATTACTGACTCTATAATTCCTCCTTGATTCTTCCATGCTATGCAGTGCAACACTGTGGGAGAGCATTTCTAATCCTTGGTCAAGAACACAACAAAATTACCCACTGAAATAATAATTAGTAATGTCATGATGGAGTAAATATTGCCTATTTTTACTGGAAATAGTGCAAAGACTAATCACAGAGGTGTCCTGTCATATTGTGTTCCCATGGAGATGAACTGTACTGTGTCACTCCTATCAAAAGTGGCAATAGGAAGCAGTTTATGCTTGAACAGCCACTGGCCAAGATTGCCTTGGAAACACACGCTTGTAATTCATATCTTGCCATTATAAACAGCCACCTGGCCCTTGTTATCAATTTAATGTAAAGATAATCTAGCCTGTAGATAGCAAGAAAATCCTGATAAGCTGTTATTATGTTATTATTGCTGGGAAATGGCCTATCTAATGTCTCCTTGATAAGTGTTGCAACATATATATCCAAAAGCACTGTCAACATTTTATTTGCAATTGAAATTCAAAATCCTTGGGAGA